GGTCCCGAAGGCCCTGTGGCTGCCTGTCATGTTGGAGTGGGAGGGGGTGGATGGAGCTGCTGCTGCCCCCTCCCGCTGTCTCGCTGGGAACCCCAGGAAAGTCTGCCTCTGTGTTCTAAGTACTCCTGGCCTTTGGAGACTTGAGGAAATCCAGGCCAGTGCAGAGCTGGCCTAGTAATTGCATGGAGAGAGGGGGGAGGTGGCTATTCTTATGCCCTGTCCACAGAGGCCAGGGGTGTCCTCAGGCTCCCAGACCTCTGCCTTGTGGCCAGGACTTCCTCAGGATTCAGGCTGTGGCACAGATCATCACCCCCCTTCCAGGGTTAGTATCTCCTCTTGGTATCCTGGGGAATGACTCCTAGTCAGAGGAGGGAACCCAAGAAAGGAGCAGATGACGTGGGAGCCTGAGGAGCCACTTGTCTGGCCACTTTGCACAATTCTGATGGAAAATAGGGTGACTGTCCTATCCTGTATGTAATTTAAAGGGGGTACTTTACAGGCCTGCCCGCATCTCAGAAAAATACTGGGGTGGAGTGGGGACAAGGGCAGGCAAGAGACAGGACATGGCTGATCAGAGGCAGCATGAGGTCAGAGATCCGGATTCAAACCCCATCTCTGCTACTTCTTAACCTTGGGACTTTGGAAAGGTGAGTCCACCTCTCAGTTTCTTCATCTGTAAAATGGGAGCGAAAAATAATCTGAGCTGCCTCTGTCACAGGGTTGCCCCTCTGAGTACCTAAGGAAGCCATACCCAGGGATGCGTAGTACAGTCAACACTCTTATGCCAGTAATAGCTGCAAATGTCTCAGGAGACGGAGGTAGAAGGAGTCCGAGACCCCTGGCCTCCCCTGGGCAACCTGCCTGCTTCGTGCCTTGGTTGGAGATTCCAGCACATCCAATAAGCAGGGCCAGAGCCTCAGAGGTCTCAACCTCCTCCTCTCCCCCTTCCCTCTGTCCCTGATCCAGTGGTCTAGGGCAGAGGCTGGCACGATATGGGCCCTGTGCCACTTGTTTTTGTAAATAAAGTTTTCCTGGAACACAGCTGCTGCCATTAATTCACAGCCACCTCGTTTTATTGCGCTTTGCTTACGCACTTTGCAGATACTGTTTTTTACAAGTTGAAGGTTTGTGACAGCCCTGGGTCCAGCAAGTCTATCAGTGACGTTTTTTAGCAAAAGTATTTTTAAATTAAGGTATGTACATTCTTTTTAGACGTGATGCTATTGCCACTTAACAGACTATGGTATAGCGTAAATGTAACTTTTATATGCATTGGGAAACCAAAAAAATCAGTGTGACTTGCTTTATTGCGACACTCACTTTATTGCGGCCATCTAGACTGGAACTTGCAGCGTCTCTAAGGTTTGCCTGCACATCCTGTCTATGGATGCTTTGGGGCTACAAAGGCAGGGCTGAGTAGTTGTAAGAGAGGTTACGTGACTTGTAAAAGCCTAACTTCTTCCTATCTGGCCCTTTACAGAGAAAGCTTGCCAGCTCCTGGTCTAGGGCCACAGGGCAGCCATGTACCCCTGAGCTGCTCGAGGGAGGGGGCCCCAGGGTCCTTGGAGCCGCTTTCACCACTGCAATCAGACCTCAGCTTTGCTCACGCCCTGAGTCTACCCTGGGAACCAAAGGACAACAGTTAGGCTGCCCCTGTGGGCTGAGAGAGGAGAAAGAGAGAAAGAGAGGGAGAGAAAGTCAGAGGATAGTAGAGAGAGAAAGAAAGAGAAAAAGAAAGAAAAGAGAAAAAAGCAAAACGTGGCTTTAGCTGGGTCTTGGGGCGGGCAGCAGCCTTGCCCGGCTCAGGGCTGGAGTTGGGGCTACCAGCCGGGACAGGCCCAGGCCTGGTGGCCAGGCAGGCCCGCAGCTCCCTGGGGGCAGGCAGAGGCAGCTGGAGGACGGCACCCGGTGGCCGCCTCCTCCTCCTTGCTGACCTCACTTTGGTTTTCTTTCATATCCAAAATTAGTCCAGTTTACAACCTCTCAGTCACAGGAAACTAAAATTGGTTCTCCCAGGCCAGGAGCCAGCAGGGCGGCATGGAAGCCTCAGCCAGCCTGGAGTCTGTGACTGGAGCAGCCTGGGGAGGGTAAGCGCTGGGCCTGGCTTTCAGAGGGGGTGTGGGGCTTCCTTCCAGACTCTCCTGAGGACCGATGTCGGGGGCGAATCTCTCAGGCCAAAAGGCACATGAGACCTCAGCACAGTGGGCCTCAGTGGGCCCAACGGCAGGAATCGCAGAATTGAGAAAACAGGATAGTCCAGCAGCTAAGAAGGGGTCATGGCTGCTGGTCTCCTCAGTGAGAGGCTGCTCCATTAGCCGGGAACAAGGCTGTTATAATAGCTGATTGGAACCTACGTCCCAATGGGTGAGAATGGTCATAGTTCAAAGGATTTAGAGCCTGGGTGGGGGGATAGAAGGTTCTAAAAGTCAAGATGAGAATAAGGCTGCCCCATGGTGGGGGAGAGGGGAGCGTGCTATCTGCTGAGAGTAGGGACCAGCCCTACATCCATCGCCCAAGAGGGGGACTGACTGTCTGACAAGGTCAGGCAGCTATTAAAAAGGAAATGGCTAAAAAAAAGGAAATGTCAATCCTGCCTGATGTCCAGACCACTCTGGTCCAAAAAGAGAAGCCAGCTGGGGCTCAAAATCCCAACCTCCAAGAACATACCATCCCAACAGCTGACAGCCTGCTGCCCAAGACAGGGACAGCCAGTGGGACGGCTGAGATGAGGGTGAACCAACAACGGGAAGAGCCCGGCTGCATGGTGGGGCTGCGCAGCAGAGGGTGTTAATGGTGTAAGCAAGACTGAGACAAGCCAATGGAGTCACCTGATGGTCAAAAATGTCATGGCTCAACCTCTGGGTCTAGAGCCATTGGCTGGCTGTAAGAGAGAAGGTCTGGTGGCAGATGAGTGGCACAGAACAGGCTGAGAGTGGGCCAGCTCCCCAAGGATGGGATGGCCCAATGGTTGAACTATGGGCCTGCTGCCCATGGAGGGGTGACCTGACGGCTGATATGGGGTGGCCAAAGAGGATGGGATGGCTCAAGGGCTGAAATGAAGTTGCCCCGGGGGCAGAACATGAAATGACCTGGTCACTGGGCGAAGAAAGGGAGTGATGGGGGCAGCAGCCGGAGGCTGGGATGCGACACTGTATATGGCTGTTAGCTGTGCTGGGTGGTAAGGACGATGGGAGTCTCATGACGGGATGGAATGAGCCAGGGGCCGAGGACGGCACCTCTGGGGGCAGCAGCGGGCATGCCAGGGGTCCCGCTGTCCACCCTGGCGGGGGCAGGCCTGAGCTCATGGCTCTGGCGGCCATGGGGCCATCACTCACTTGGACAAGTTGAGCTTCCCTGCGGCCAGGTGGCTCTGCACCGTCCGCCAGCGGCCTCTCCCCGCCTTGCCACCGCTGCCCGGCTCGCTGGGGGCAGTGCCGCCGCTTCTCAAGGCGTCCTCTCCGGGTGGTGGCACCGGTGCCGGCTTCTCCCCCAGCCGGCCTTCCCGCTCCACCGCCAGCCCCGCTGCGGCAGCCACTTTGGCGCCAGACAGGAGGGTACCACTGGAGGCACGCACGAGGCAGCCAGGCCAGAGGGGCACCAGGGGTGGCGGTGGGGGAGAGAGGGCAGGACACAGGTGGGGGTGGGGGGTGAAGAGGAGGAAAAACAATAACAGATAAAAGGAAGTAAGAGACAGAGACAGAGGAGGAGGAGAGAGACAGACGGACAAGAGACAGACAGAGAGAGAGAGAGAGACATCAGCACTGCAAATGGGTTAACAGCAGAGCCTGCAGAGAGGAGAGAGGGGACCAGCGGGCTGGGGGTTGAACAACGCACCACGACAACGGAGGGGGGCCCCTCCCCACCGCCT